TTGGGACTCTTGGGCCATGGCCTACTGGCTCGGTTCATTAAATGGTTAGGTTTAAGCAACTCAGTATGTGTTTATGTCTCGTGAACTTAGTAGCCATTTGAAAAATAATAGTTAGAAATTAAAAGAAAAATGGTATTTTTCTTTTACTGTTAAATAGCTTCCAGTACTTTCTAATGGGATGTGTACCCAGAGGGCTCTGCCAGGCTTGTCTGAACTTGGAATCATGTTGGATGCCACCACCCTTCATTTTCAGTTCCACATAGATATTTGTGTGATGCTTGTAAAATCCAGCTGCCCAAAAACATGACATCCTTGAAAAAAGTGCTGTGAGATCTCAGGTTGAAGCTGTGAGCTGCCTCGACTGGCACTTGCATGTGGTCAGACAGATGTGGGTGGCCTCCCCTTGCCTTTGAAAATTTAAGATACTCCTGCAGGGCCCCTGGGAGTTCGTAGAGGTGCTTTGGCACATGGTTTGGGGAGGCTGGGATTATGTCATTGGATCCTCATAATGATCCTGTGAGGATTATATCTAATATATTTCCATTTTACATAAGGAGAAGCCAAGGCTCAGAGAGGCCAAGATATTAGCCTAAGGTCACACAGCATTTTGGTGAGGGACCCAAAACTGATGAGTTCTGATATTCTGGTAATCGCTTGGACTATCAACTGGATCTCTTGAGTTGTGCATCTTCAGGGTCCTGAGCACCTCTCCCCTTAGTGTTTGGAACCAAACAGAATCAATCATCCTCTGGCCTCCACCCCAAGTCCATGAGACCGAAATGTGGACAGTGATGGCAGCCTGTTGTTTTTCCTCCTTCCAGGGGGCCCACTGTGCTCTTGCTGCGTCCCAGACCCCATGGGGCTCTCTTTCCTCCCCACCTACGGCTGCCAGAGTAACCGCACGGCCAGCGTGGCCGCCCTGCGCATGAAGGCCCGCGAGCACTCGGAGGCTGTCCTGCAGTCGGCCAACCTCCTGCCATCGGCCAGCAGCAGCCCCAGCCCCGCGGCCAAGCCGGCGCCTCCGGACAGCAGCCAGGACAAGACCCCTCCCAGCAAGGAACAGAGCGAGGGTGAAAAGAGTGTATGA